AAGGAATGTGTGAGAGTGAAGCCTAAGTTTCTATTTTTGTTCTGATTGAAAGCAGACTAAGGATGAATTGGGGGAAGGTGGGAGGAAGGTAGACTGCATGCGTTTGACCGGGTCAACCAAAGCCTGAGCATTGTTTCTACTGTGAATGGCTCAAGGCTATGTTTATTTGGATGTTTTCAGAAGGACCAGACATTGTTTCTACTGTGAATGGTCTGGTCGCTGTGTTTATTTGATTGTTTTCTGGAGAGCCAGGCACTGTTTCGACTGTGAATGGCCTGACTACCTTAGCTAACTCTGAGGGTTGTCTGATTGAAGGAGTTTAAATTCTTGTTTATTTTGAGGAAGGATTTTTTGTCTAAGGCTAAGCATTGTTTCCATGGTGAATGGTTTAGCCTGAAAACTACGCACATAATTTAAACTAAGTATAAAGGAAAGTATTTTATGTATATTTGTATGTGAGCTCGCAGCTGGGCATTGTTTCTACTGTGAATGGTCCAGCATTAAGCCATATCATTAAGAAGAGAAAAAAGAAAGTACAAAGTATAAATGAAAATAGTTTGGGCAAGTTGAACATTGTTTCTACTGTGAATGGTTCAGTCCCCTGCCCATATTTGCCTCTTCTTTTGAAAACAAAGTCAGAGAAATACTAAACCTTGGATATTAAACGGCTCAGGGCGGCTAAACATTGTTTCCATGGCGAATGGCCTAGTCATACGCCCAAAAGAAGAGAGAAGTAGTTGTGCAACCTGTTCGTGTATATTTTAGAGGCAAGTTGGGCATTGTTTCCATGGCGAATGGTCTAGCTATATGTCTTATGTAAGAGGAGAATAAGGGTTCAAGGACTTAAAAGATTCATAAACTATCTATATGGAATGAACTTGGGGCTGGTGAGAGTACTTACCTTTGTGGTTTGGCTTGCATGTGACTGAGTGAGGCCACTACTTAGTCTGAGTTTCTGGTTGGTAGGTAGTTGCTTTAGTTGCTCGCCACGTGCTAGAGCCATAGGAGTTAGTATCAATTCTTGCATTTTTTGTAATAACTTTCTTTACTTAGGTCAATTCTTGCATTTTCTGAGACATTTTTCTTATACTTGGCTTTGTATAAATCTTGGCAAGCTACTTTCTATACGGGAAGCGCTGCCGAAATTTCTACAGATCCAAAGAGATAACTAAATTTCGGCTTGTCAAAAGTCCAACTTTGTCCTTTCTCTTATCTGACTAAGTTAAAATCTGGGAAGTCTCCTTTTCTAAAGGAAGTGCTGCCCAAATTTTTGCTAATTCAGGGAGTTAGACAATATTGAACTTTGGGAAGCCAAAGTTATTCTCAAATTCTGGATCTGACTTGGTATAAATCTGGGAAGTCTCCCTTTCTAAAGGGAGTGCTGCCCAAATTTCTACTAATTGAGAGAGTTAGACAGAATTCTACTTTCCAGAATTAGA